TGACTTGACTCTAAGAGTTCTACATCACACGACGGTTGATTGACAAATGGTCCAGTGGGACCTAAGGCTCCTTTTATAGCGCACCTTCGTGTTTAATGTGCCAGGCGGTAAGTTACAGTGAATGCATTTCTCTGAACGCTTTACTCCCTAACAGTAGATTACATTTTCTTATTACTATTCGCTATGCATTTTCTATGAAACTGACAGTGAGACTTAGTTTAACAATCAAAAGATTCTTTAGTCGGTGGTCGTTTCCTTAATTGTCGTGATCTCAATGTTTGATTAGGGAATGATAAAGTTAGGACAAATAGTTGGGTGCTTGTTACCTTAAGGGGTTAATATGGTCTGTTATGCATGGGTAGCAATTAAAGATTAATTCTCTGGTTACAAGCTGTAAGATGATTCAACAGGAACTTGACAATTTATTTGCTAATTCGCATCCCCGCTCAAACGAATATAAAACATTATCATACAATAAGTAACCATAATTGGGGTGTGTCAACACGAGCCGTATGCGACCCTCTTTATTATGCCTTCATTAACAAAATTGACAGGAATGGTACGTCAACGGAATCAAAACTCGGAAATGTAAAAAATAAAGCAAGAAAAACCACCCTTCACAACAATCTAAACTATGTTCGTATATGCAAAAAAAAAAAAAGAAAACTACTTCTAAGAGAAATTGACAATCCCTAGTCACTGGGTATTTAAATTTGAGGGCTAAGGGACGGTCATAAGACGCGAATGAATTTAAATTACAACAGCTCGAATATATAGCCTACCGCTAATGAAGGAATTGTAACAACATACTATGCAACACCCCAAAGAAAGGGTTGCGTAACCCATGATAAATACACATCTAACCCTACTCAAGGTTTGAATTATTTAACTGTTCAAGAGTAACGATGATAGCAATGATATCAATAAATAGTATGCCATTTAGCTTCGATGTGTATCACTTCGAGCAGTTTTAAGATTCCAATTCAATACAATAGTTACTTCATTATCTGTTCATTAGAGCGCCCTTGACTCTGCTGATGCCAGCGTTCCAACAGGTTGGTGACAGGAATCTTCATGCATAATTTTATCCCATCGACAGTTTTTATAGGTGGTAGGAGCGAAACAGAAGGCTAATAGAGCGTAATATAATGTATCTTGCAGGCGATGGAGTATTTATCTTAAAGAAAGAGGAAGATGAAGACCCAGTCAAGGTAGGGAAAGCAGTATAATGCTGTTACTACTGTTTATAACGTCATTCCTTCTTAGCAACAAGCAAATTAACAAATCTACAGTACTTTAGCGTGGGCTCCACTCTTATCGACAACAATATTTGGCATCACAGTGGTCAAAATGTCATGTACTCATGCTACTCAGCTAAGCCACTGTCGATTTTTTCCCCTTTTTTTTTTTTTTTGTACCACGATTATCGACGTCAAATGAAATGATTCTTTCAGAGCGTGACATGTGACGCGAGCGGGTCGTGACATTGCAGCCAAGTAAGCCAGCCCGTAAGATTGTTCCTATTAACTGTCGGTTGCTTTCTGTTCATAGGGAGTAGGTGTTAAAGGAGTAAGCAAGGTTAAAACCAAAAAGAAAAAGCTTAAGGTCGGTCTACTTTGTTGTAATAATTGGTTCTAAATTAAGTCGTGGATACAAAAGACCCAGCTTTGATTCCTCCTAGTGGATGCTGATGGCATTTAGGCTTCTCTCATCGTCCTCAGTCCACGTTAGATTGGCCCGCTACTTGCCTTGCTTAATCAGATTCTATTAGAGTATCGAAAGCAATTCGGTATTGTGTGGCATTTTCTTTACCTCCTGGGCCTAGGTGTAGAAAGGGCGGTTAACGCTATCCAACGGATAAATCGCTATCCGGCGGGTAAGTGAAAGAAAAACGTATATTGTTATCCACCGGGTGGAGATTTATCCAGTGTATCGTGTTATTTACCCTTCGAACAACCGGGGCGAGCTGGTTGATTGGCTTCTTTTTCTCATGTAGAATACTCAGACGCTGGATGAATTTCTCAAAGATCACGGTAGACCGCAAACACTCAGACCAACTTACGGCGAAGATTCCGAAGACCTGGGTGAAATTCCCCATCCTAAAAGGTAATGGATGGTTGCTACTCAACGTAAAAAGTGAAAAATTGTTGCCTCCTGAATGTTAAGGCCTGGTCAAACGCACGCAACATTTCAACACAGCATCTTGCAACATTGTTGGACTGTGTTTTGAAGGAGCTGGCCAAACGCGCGCAACAGCTTGCAGCATCAAAAATGTTTGCATCAAAAAGTTGACCATTTTCGAACTTGATCCAACACCATCCAACATGTTGCAACTTGTTGCTACCGAGTTTGCAACACCTTGTGCGCAACAATGTTGCAAGATGTAGCGTTGAAATGTTGCGCGTGTTTGGCCGGGCCTTAAGTGTCAGTAGAGCCGCAATGACGGACCTAGCCAAACAAAATATTTAATGAACTGACAACAACTTAGCATGTACGTCTTTTAAACTTTGGCCGTGCTATGCAATATGACATGGTGAAATCGCTGAATTTTGCCGAGTCCGAGAACGGGACATAAGTCGCATTTCTTAGAATTCTACCTTGCATTCCTGTGTGATGCTGAAGAAAAGACCGAGCGTCGTTGGGGACGGTAAAAAAAAAAGTACTGCTCATTAAATTCTTTGGAGAAACGAAAGTGCATTCTTTCAGCGTTGCTGTTGTGTGATCATGATCTTAAACTCTCTATTGTTTATCTGTCTGACCGTTATTCCGTGCGTCTGTGTGAGAGTAGGAGAGGTAAAAGCATTATTAAGAAAATGATGAATTGTAATTATTTCTTCTTCCTAGTAAATTTGACCTGGCTACTCCGCCACCAGGCTGGACTCAGCAGGAGATGGAAACGCCATTTGCTATTCCACCTCATTTACAAGACAGCGCAGCAGAGTTTGAGGCAAGTTACAGGATGGAAGTAGCATCAGACATCGTCTCCACGCCCTTACCACCTCCTTCCTCTATTAGTTTGGAAGCAGTCACGGAATATGTCAGCTCGTAAGTTCTTCCTCGTCAAATTGTTGTCTTTGTGGTGCTTTCTTTCGATTAGGTCAACTAGAACTGACGAACCTTTGCTTCGGCTGGCTTCAAACATACTTTTTAAAAAACTTAGCATCTGTTTTTCTTTCTCCCTGTAGAATGTTACATGAGATTTTAAGAGTCCAAGGGGGTCTGGAGCTCGCTGACCCGAACATCATGCAGCCTCTTAGCATGCTGCCGGACGATTACCAAGATATTATTTCCAAAGTTGGAGGACTAAGAGCTATCCTAGAAAACTCTGGAAAATTTTTGTTTGACGGTAACAGGGTTATGCTTCCTGAAGACAAGGAATTTGAAGACTTAGTAAAATCTCTTAAACCTGCGAGTTGCAACAATCCGTTCTTGGACAGGACGAATACTGGATTAAAGACCAATATTAAACTGGCAAACGATACTCGGGACGACGATAAATCAAATTCCGTCGATGATCTTTTAACTTCGGCTGGTAAACTGCACGACGGGGGTGTAGATTCGTCTTCCTCGTTGTCGTCATCTCCAATGCTTAATCCTAATAGGACAGAGTTTGTTTCTTCATCACAAACAGATTTGTTATCAGCTAGCTCATCGAAAACATCTATTGGCAGTGATTCCACGTTAAAGTGCGATGATGATGAACAAATGATTGATAGAAACGACACCACTATTGAAAATATTGAACAAAATATTTCGAACGGTAAAACTTTAGGTGATAGCGTTTCAGAAAGTGATCTTAGTGTCACCAATGAAACGCAACGCGAAAACTACCAAGATTTTGCATGTGATACGAATTCTTTTAAAGTCGAGCCTTTGTCTTTAAATGATAATACTGTTGCGGACTCAAGCTTCGATGCTAGTCGAGTTAATCCTTCTGTTGAAAAAGTTGAAAAGGAGACATCTTCACTTGTAGCGGGCGAGGACAACAACTCTTCACAAAGTAATAAAAAACTTAACGCCAATGTTTCCACTACTGAACCAGCGATAGTTAGCAAAACTAAAGCTGTGCAAACGCAGCCGAATGTGAAAAGTAAAGGTGTAGGCACTGATCCAATCCCTGAACCTTTTAAAGCAGAATATCAAAGGGTCGCGGCGGAAAAGGACGCTTTACAGGCGAGGCTTCAGGAAAACGTCGACAGACATAACGCCTTACACAGTAAGAACTCTGCAGAAGTGGAGAAATATAAGAAGAAGCTCACTGATGCACTGCAAGAGAAAGAGGTGATTATTAGTCTGTGTTCCTAGAATAATTGATTTGAAGGTGATCCGCCGAAATAACGCTGCCTTGAAATCTTCGCCTTTCCTTTTCGCTTTCGCGTTTGATGTATTTTGGAACCGAAGTATGGGCGTTTGTGTGACAGGGAAGGCGACCGAAAAGAGAAGGCAGCTGCCTTTTGTACACTCTGATTTGAGCGAATTGGTTGCTTGTACCCAGGGTTGCAGGGCGCGCGTTTCTCCACCCTCTGGAACATTTGAAACGAGTCGGGGAGTGGTTTGCCAGAGGTCTGGCACTTATTTTCAGTGCTAGACCTTCTTGTGGACCTCTCAAGGGCTCATTCTTTCTCGTGGGAGAAGAAAAGGCTCGCGTCGAAGCGTTAACAATGAAGGTCCGCTCGCAAGCTACCGAACCACTTATAATGTGATAGTTTCAGCCCTAAGAACCAAAACCTACCAACAAAATCTCTACCCAGCTCCAGAGGAAATGACTCTTACCTTCCGGTTGCCGTTTGCACTTCAAAAAAACAGGAAAAGGCTGTGCTCAAGCTCGCCCTGGCTTGCACAAATTACACTCTCATGATGCCCCTCTCTCTCTCCACCACGGAGTTTAAATGGGTACTAGCGAGCTTTAAACTTTTACACCCTAGCATCAGTATGCATACTCTCCATATTGTTCTCTCTACAGTTTCTAAGGCACAAAGGAGAATTTGAAGAACAATCTAGAGCTGCTTTAGTTGGTGGTCATTTTCTCCATTCTCGCGACACCCTTAGGGGTCAAAGTGTTAAGGGAAACGCGGCGAAGTGCTGGGAGAAATGTTAAGGAATCGTGAGACAGAAACTGGGGCGACTTCTGGCCATGCGGGAGCTATATTTAATTTGAATTTTAAATGAACATTTTCCGGGCAGAAACAAGAATCGGCTTTATGAAACGTCCTAAAATTAACGATTGAGAGAGCGTTATTTTTTTAATACGGTTTTTATTTGAAAAATATCTCCATGTCTTGTTATAGAAATACTCAAAAGATGTTCAAGAAGTTAAGAAGGAGAATCAGGAGGAAATACGTAAGCTGCGACAGCAGTGCGAAGACAAAGACGATAAGATCAAAGGATTGAACCATAAACTACAACAAGACGCAGAGGAGAAGTGAGTTCATATGAACCGTGTGAATAACATGAAACTTTTTCTTAGGATTTGAAGGCTTTTGTCTTTTGCTGGACTGACGCTGCACAGAAGCCTCTCGCTACAGTAGTAGCTCCAATAGCGTTAAGATGATTTGCGTCAGATGGTGCTGAAAATGTTATTTGATCGCTGTTTGTTTTTTGTCAGAACCAACATGATAACCAGTGTTAAAAAAGAGCTATCAGCTGTTAAAGGACAGTACACATCAGAGAAGTATGTCTGCTTCAAAGATACAGTATATCAAGGAGGAAAGATGGGCCTCCTTTTTTGTTTTTCGTTCAAAAGATTTTCGTTGCCCTTAAGTTGATGGCCACTGAAATCACTGAATTTTGTACCGGCACGCGTCCACCAGCTCGGGGTGTTTTGTTCCAAGTTTTAATCAGAAGGACCCTGAATGCTTCTTGGAAGAAATTTCCGCCCAAGGTTCATGATTTTGAGCGATACGGTGACTGCCAGGAAAAAGAAAAAAAATATAAATTTTAGATTGTTTTCTCTAAATCGCATTGTGAAATCAGGGGTTGATCATTTAATTATTTAGAGAAGTAATAAGTCCGCTGTTTTGATTTAAAACCATATCGTTACCAATACAATTTTTTGCGATACTCTTCCTTAAATCCTTCTGTCAGGGAATCTTGGAACAAAGAACGCTCTGAAAAAGACGAGTCATTAAAAACTTCTAAAGCTCAACTTCTACAACAACAGGCTAGGGCTCAGGATGCAGAGGTAATCTTTTTCGTTTTCCGTTGTTTATTTTTATTTTTTTTTTTTCTGCGGGGAGGGCGGGGGAACAGCCGCCTGTTACACCATTGGTAGGCGCTTACGGAAAAATATATTGAAAGCCTTGTCGAAGTTGGTCCGTGAGGCAGTCCTCGATGTGTTGGAGTAATTTTCAATCGAGTGTCGAACTAGATCCAGGATTGCTTGGTTTTGCTTTTTTTCTTCATGTGATAGCGGGTCCAGAAAACTCGCGCCACTTCACTTTCTCAACCAATCAGATTCAAATTAAAACCAGCCGTGGCTTGGTCACTGGCGTTTTCCCGCTCTTCAGGCAGTTTGTTTGTTTTTACATCGAGTTTTCATTGGCATCAAGTTTTCATTGGCATCAAGTTTTCATTGGCATCAAGTTTTCATTGGCATCGAGTTTTCATTGCGCATAAGGCAAAGGCCTTATGCGCAACAGAGCACGAAGAAGACTGCTGATGATGATGATTTCATTGGCTGCGTTTGACGTCATTCTTGTTATGATTGGCAGTTGTGAGTACTTTGGTTTTGGTTTACGACACTCGACGGAAAACAGCTGTAATGGGCTATAATGTCAACTGGTATATTTTTCTTGGTAGGTCAAACTGCTTGAACTTCGCCGTGACGTTGGTTTGAGGTTTCTAGAGAGAGCGTTACAAGAATCTCATATAACCATCAACAATTTGATACAAGCTGTTAATGCAAGGTTAGATCTGTCTGATTCATACGAGTACTTGGATAAATATTTAACTTTGTCTGAGTGACTTATCGTATGTATTTTTACATATTAAGAATTGATACAAATCTGGTTGTTTGGCGTAGAATTGCTGGTCCTAAAGTGGAAGAACTCGTCACCGCGTGGAAGAACTACGCTTCTGAATGCCATCAGAGAGTCATACAATGCAAGGTACTTGTTGTGTACATTTTAAGTGTCCTCGGACACCCAGAGGCAAGTAATCGGGCGAGAGGAAGGTGACGCAGCGGTTTGCGATTGACGCGAAAGTTTACTTGGCGAGAGAGAGAATCTCTCTCGCTTGTCAAGTAAAATTTCTCGTCCAGCCGAAACTACCGTAGACAGGTTAACAATGTGTGGACAGCCCCTGCCATGCTATCAGACTTTAGATGTTTTGTCTTTCACTATTCGTGTTCTAATGAAAGTGTGATCTCTTGCAGGGAACATTTAATGAACAAATTGAGCTGCTGAAAAATGGCAGGACTCTGTCAAGTTTACCTCAGCTGAACATCCCCGGACCGCCGCCATATCCAGGCATCCCAGTTCTACAGTCTTTAGTGAGTAAAATTCCATCTTCTTATGGATCCTTGCCTTGTTAGGAGACGCTTTTCATCCTTCACAAGCGATCGACATGCATCTTCTTTTCACCTCAATAATGTGTCAAGTAGACATGACATATATCAACTCAAGTTATTTCCGCGGCATGTAACCAGATTGAGGAAATGTATGACAGTCAGTAAGGAAAGTTAACAATCAGAATTTGTCTTCTCCTTAAGGTACCCGGACAACAACAAAACCAAACCCAGGTCCAGCCCCAGGGTCAGCCCCAACCGCAGCCGCAGCCGCAGCCGCAGCCCCCACTACAACCGCAACTTCAACTTCAACCTCTACGTCAACACCAACCCTCTCCGGAAAGTAACAGTTCAACACCTGAACCCCCCGTTCCAACCAGCACTGCTATTACTAATGCGGGGGGTCCTTTAGCTGCGGCTCCACCTCCGGCTGGTGCTGCTGCTCCAGCTGCTACAGCTGCTGCAGTTGGTGGAGAACAGCCTCTGGTTGCTGGTAACCTTGCAGCAGGTGGCGCGGTGGCTGCGGCGCCGGACAAGGCGCGACCATCAAACAGCTTTGAGAAGATTATGCTGCGTCTGTCGACCATGTATCCAAACTTTACCAGGTAGGAAAAATCATCCAAGTGACATGAGGTAGTTTCAAACTGAAGTTTTTTCATTGAATAAATTTCATTTGAGAAATTTTAAATCATGTTTTTTACTTTTTCTGAGTAGAAATTGTTTTGTATTTCTCGCAGGTTGGAATTGACCGGGTTTATCAAGGAGGTACGGCATAACAAACATGGCTCACTCACTGGATTGTCATTAGAGGATATCGTTGCTAGTGTTTCAGACCTGGTTGAACAGAAAAAGAAGGTAATTCAAGTTAATTTTGAACTTTTTTTCGTTTTAGTGGGTCCCATCAGTTTTCGATTAACTGTCCTCGATTGCGCTGGTTTTGCTTGGATTTGACTGTGCTCAGCGATTCGGTAAGAAGTAGCACTGAAAACACTCAACCAATCAGATGCAAACTTGGTCACGCTTTTCGCCAAAAAGTTCTCCCGTTTTGGGGTTTGGTTACGTTTGTTTACTCTGAGTTCTCATTGGCTGCCTGTATTGTGAACCCTTGTTCTGATTGGTCGTTATGTTTACTTAGGTTTTGGTTTTGTGTTACTTAATCGAAAAGCGCCGTGCAATGGGAAATGGCTTCATTTTGCTGCACTACGTTGTTGTGTCTGGGTCAAGGGTCTCACGAGTCTATCTACAACGCTTTTCTTGTGAATGTGAAATGTAGCAATGGCATCTTGAAGATTTGTTTTTTTTGTTTGTTTTTTCTTCAATATTGCTTTGTTCTTAACGCATAAATCACTAACTTTTAAAGAGTCTTTAGATGTTATGAAAATCGCGTCAAGGCGTAGAAATTACGTTTGCTGTTTTAGGATTACATCGTCATGAATGTTTGTCTCATGGAAACTGATGAAAAATATATTTTATGAGAAAAAAAAATTACCTCAGTAAATTTTTCCGTTTTATGTCTTGGGAAATATATAAGTTTCACAACTTGCAACTTGTTCTTTTTCCCACCCTCCCTCCTCAGGCTGGTTTGTTACGTACCACCCATGTGCCTCCTGCCAAGCAACCGCAAGCACAGAAAACCCAACAGATCCTGATCTCTAGGCTAACCTCAGCAGACGCGGCCAAGATGGCGATCGGCTCTGGGAAGTATGAGGAAGATCCCTGTGTCATCTGTCACGAAGACATGAATGCGTCCATCGACATAGTAACGTTAGAGTGTGGTCATAGATATCATTCACCGGTAAGCTCATTTTTTTTCTAGGCTTTATTTTACATACTATTTTATTTGTTGATGAATGATCGCCTGCATTCTATGCACGATCATTTTTTGTATCATGATTGTTATGCATTCCAGAGTAGAAGTCTAAACGCAATCAGTTGCGTTAAACTAATTCAACTTGTGTTTATATTCTAGTGTATCCGAAAATGGTTGGTAGGGGAACAGAGCACGTGTCCAACTTGTCGGGTTCATGCCCTTCTTCCTGATGAATTCCCTCGTCTTCGGTAAAACACTTCTTGGAAATATGGGGAATGCGGAGCACTTAATCAGCGCGTGGTCTTCCCGCTCGTCTCGGACATTGGTACTTCGTGTTCACGTGTACGTCACTTGTTTGTTTAGTAGATATATGGCAATGTATAATGCCACTGCATTAAAGACACAATCTGGAACTGCGGTGGCGGATGAAAAGTTCTCTTCAGTCTGTCTCACTTAGTCCACAAGGAGAACTACGGGATCACAGTTTAAAGATGATTTTCTTGAATGGCTTGTTATACTTGAATAGAATTGACACATTTATTTCATAAACAAACTTGTTTGAGTTTAACGCTGCAGCCCGACTACTTATATTTTTGTGATTCCCGAATGTTATCCTCTTGAGGCAGATTAAAGAAACTACATCTGCGTTGTTAAGCTATGTTACAGATAAAGTGAGTTGTAATTTGAAAGAGTTTTGATTAAAAATCGTCGCTACTTACACTTATTAAGCCTTCTTTTCCGGCTTGTCATGTATACAGATGTATTCGGATTAGTTTGCAAGACATTGCCTTATTCAAGGACTATAAGTTTCTCTATTAGAACACAATATTTCTAGCCCTATTACCAATTTAATTTCGAGACACTGGCGTGAACAACTGTTCGTGTTTATTATGAATCCGAACACTGTGTTAATTACTTTTTTAGGGAACGTTTTTTAATTTTGATTGAAAACAATAAAGTTGGAAACAGTTTGTTTGTTAAGAAGCGTTGCATGATAATGAACAAACGTCACCGCTTGTCGCAAACTTACAGATTTAAGAACAAATGACAACAGCGAAACAGTGAAGAAGACAATAAGTCGGTTGATGGAAAGGTTGGCACGGTTACTAAAGGAGATTATGGTCATTATAGTCTAATTATTATCGCTTTCTTTAAAACTGTTTGGCGCCTTGACTTCTTGTCAGACAGTTCTTTGTTCCTTCCGAAACTAATTACTCGCAAACTTGCCTTCTTTAGCAAACATTGGGACCCTGTTTCGACAAGAACCGGATCTTTGGTAGGGCGACCTACATTCATGGGAATCGCTTACTAGCTTGTGAACAAGACTAATTTTTTTCGCATTTATTAGATTCTTAAATATGACTGAAAAAGAATAATAAAACTAATTAAAACGAAAGCATCATTGACATTTCGTACAGTTACCCGAGGGAAGATTTTTCTTGAGTATTGGCCACTGTAGGAAAACAAAGTACAATTTTAAACCTCCCTTTTCAAACGATTTCAAACGCGGCGGTGGGCGCTCATTCACCACTCTCCCCTCCCCCTTTAATAGGGCTCTTCCAAGATATAGATGCCCCACTTCCCCCTCCCCCGTCAAAAAAGGACGTCACTCAAAAGAAGTAAATCGTGTCAAGAGGATTTTTGGTGGAACACTCGTTTTTCAAGTACAGTGTTGAATAATTTAATTTGTATTTCCTTTCTTCTCTGTTACTGATCTGTTTGGGCGCATGAAACTGTAGAAGTCCACAAATTTCACAGGCAGGATGTAGAAAGATTTCATCCTATTATTTCTCCACAACACCTTCCGGTCAACCATGCTTAGAATGTGTCAAATAATGACTCCTGCTCATCACAAAATTCTTCCTAAATTTTACAACGGTTGCAAAAAATTGTGCGTGAAGTTCAAGTCAAGAGAGAGCGATATACATCACGCGATTTTCGTAACATCATGTTACTTTGAAGAAGCGATTGCTGTAAACTTGAAACCTGCATGCGCTTTTTGTTTGCCGCCGTTTTCCGTCACGCGTTTCAAGAGTATAGCACTTATCTAAACAGACATCCATTCTTAAGATATTTTCTTCTTCCCTCCCAAAGATTCCACACCAGAGTCGTTGATATGGAGGCTATTTCTGGCTAAATGTTTGTTTGTTTTCGCTCTTTCCCTCTCAATGTTTTTGTTATCAGAACTGTTCCTGAAGTACCGGCAGAATCTTTTAATTCGCCATCATAAACAGCTTCGTCTGCTAATTCATATGATGGTTTGTTTGTAAAGAATCTATTCATCAAGTGATCGAATTTCGATTACTAGGTCACGCTAGGATTCAAGCGTAAAACGTTGAACTGGAACCCTCCAAAAGTCGTAGATTAAAACTCTTCCTGACTTCAGCTTACTGGTTTTCTGTGAAATCATGTGTTAACCGCCAGCAGATGGATTTTGCAGCATTCGGAAGCGAGCAAATAGAGATCACGTGTCCAAGTTAAATTCCCAATACGATCAATGACAGGAGCTTATGATTATTCCAAGGAATGTCAATAAATTATAACGAACCAATCGTGTTCTCCCATGGGAGTCTCTCAAATGAAAGATCTGGAAATTAAAATGATCAGGCGTTCCGTCAGAACGTGCTTTTCAAATCAGTTTCTTTGAAACGAGCGCCAAAAAGAATCACTGCGAAAAGGAACGGCAGATGCCTGTCAAGACGCCTCTCTCGCATCAAGTGCATTTTATACAGAGGATCAGCTCGTTTTGGTCGGTGATTTAGTCGGTTAATCTAAACATGCCGCGCGGAGAACACCACCGGTCCGACCGCGATAGAGACCACGATTATAGAGACAGAAGAGAGCGAGCCGAAGAAACTGGCAGCCAAGAAATACTAGATGAAGGAATAATACAGGTACAGGTTATTCCACAGGACGACAATTGGGGAGAAACAGCCACCTCTATTACAGAGACGGCTACATCGATCGTAACACTTAGCGAAACGGACCTTAGCGACATTGTGAAAGAAAGACGTCGCATCTCATGCGGCAGCTTCGGACGCCATGTTAAGCTCATACCGCAGGCAGTTTTGTGCGTGTTTTCTGTAGTTTCCCCGATTCTTTTCGTGGTTTTCCCACTGGTTACATGGAAACCTACGCCCTGTGGCTCAACATGTGATGGACTTTTCATTAGTTTTGCCGTCAAAGAGCTGTTGTTAATGATCGGGATTTGGGCTTTGTATTTTCGCATGTCACGGGTCACCCTTCCTCGACTATTTGTTCTCCGAGTTGCCTTCATGGTGCTTGTGTTTTTGGTTCTCGTTTGTTTCTGGCTTTTCTACGGTTGGAGAATCATTGATAAGAAGGCAAACAATTTTGTTGAAATTCTTTACTTTGCGATCAACATGCTAGATACATTGCTGTTTTTGCACTACGCTTCTGTGGTGGTGCTTTGGATTCGCCAAACAGACCCTTTGTTTACACTCAAAGTGATTCGTAGCACAGACGGAATAAGTCGGCATTATAACATCGGGCCTTTGTCGATCCAGCGGGCTGCAGTGTTTGTGTTGGAGCAGTATTACAAGGATTTTCCTGAGTATAATCCATTTCTCATGCAGACGCCAGCGCGGACGGCGCACAAGCAATTCTCGAGTCTCAAATTTTACGACATCGATGGAAAGCAGAACGACAAAGTAAACCCGCGGGCCAGAGCAATCTTGACGGCAGCCTCGACCCGTAGACGGGACCCAGCGAGAAACGACCGATTTTACGAAGAAGCAGAGTTTGATAAGAAAGTGAAGCGACGAAAGGCGCGATTGTTTAACGCGTGTGAAGAGGCCTTTGGACATATTAAACGCGTTCAACTTGAGCGTGGCCCTTGTGTTCCGATGGATCCTGAAGAAACGGCCCAATCCCTGTTTCCATCATTTGCCAGACCGCTTCAAAAATACTTGAGAACTGTTAGACTTCACCATCGGTACTCGATGGACGGAATTATTAAGCATCTCGCGCATTGCTTGACTTTTGATATGACCCCGAAAGCGTTTCTGGAACGATACGTGAGCGAGCAGCCCTGTGTGGAATTTACCACCAAAAGGCGAACTCAAAGTTGGAGTATAGTCTGTGAAGAACAAGTTACGAAATCACTGTCTTCTTCGACGGTGTTTCAACTAAAAGGAGACGAACTTGCTTTGATAGTGACCGTACGAAGATTACCATACCTTGATATTTCAGAAGACGAGTTTGACTTTGAAAGCAACAAGTTTGTACTAAGGCTCAACTCTGAGACTTCGGTCTAAACCAAGCTCTTTGTGCTGAATATTTTGTAAATAGCATCAATGCTGTTATATTTCTCAAGTGTGCTCTCCAAGAGAAACAAACCCTAATTTAAGGACATTTTTCAGGCAGCGAAATATTGCAGTTGAATGTTTCTTACAACATGAAATATACAGTATTGTTTTCTCGTACACCGTGGGATTTTTAAAGTGGCCCCAAAGACTGGTATTGTCTAGAATTTCTCTAGAAAATGTTTTAAGTGATTTACGTATTTGACCATTCCTCTACACTCCATGTTGTTTACAAAAAAGCTAATTTTTGAATCGGAAAGTATTTTCTACGAATGGATTACCAGTTATTTGCGGAAGATTTGTTGTAAGGTCGCGCAAATTAAAATTGATCGTAATCTTTTGCTTGTTGTAGTCGCAGTCGTCTTCAGTTTCAGGTTAACTTAAATGCAGAAATTCGAAGTAATTATCTCTTCAGAAAAACTAACTTTGCCAGTTAATTGAGGGTTGAAGTTACATTTCATTAAAATATTCAGAAATACAAACAGATACCTTCTGTTTCGTCATTTATGTAACGTTGTTTATATTGTAACATTTTGCAGATGCAATTTGCGTCTGGGAAAAGATCTGTCCTACCGAACAGAAAACTCGGAAAGGTTAAAGAAATTGTGTTAATAGATTTAAAACCTTAGCTAATTTTTTCAAGAGTCAAATTCGGCGGGGATCACAAGCCCTTGATCGACAATTTGCTTTGTTATAATCCTTCCTGGGCTACGAATTTCTTTTATTTTTGCGGTTGTGAACACTCGACAATTATGCATGATTAGCGAACTATTTCTAAGGGCGTTTTACAATATATCTTTGACAGATTCTGTTTTTAGCGACGAAATTTAACCAAACCGCATAGAGAGCGAAGTTGGGGGGATTGTTTACATTTGACGAGCTGTTTAAGCTGGTACACGAATGAAGTTTGAAAATAACTTATCAATTCCACGTATTTTGGTCTTTCATGATTATCTTATTTGAATAGAATTATTCTTTGCATGCGCTCTCCAGCCCCCCTTCGGCCTTTAACAAAGGGATTCCGTTTTGAGAGAGTAGCATGCAGTATTGGTTTGAATTGTATCCCTATCGCGTAAGTTATGAGATTTAATCAAACATTTCTCTGTAATTGCCAACCGTACAATTCTCCGCCTTACAGAATGGAAATGAATAGATTTCACACGACAAGGCTGTCATGAAAAGTTTTTGAGACGATTAAATTTTCGTGATAAAGGATAGCGGGAGACAAAGCCGCAATCTTGACCCTTCAGAGGTGAATGATTTCAGCCTTCAAAAACAAGAAACAGCCCCTGCGGGCAACAATGTACTGATTTAAGAACCCACATTTTGATCAATGATGTTTTAAATGCATTTCCTAAGGGCAAAGGATAGTTTTGTGACACTGGTAGTGCCCTTTGTGAACATGGATGCGATAATCGATTAATTCTTCGGCGTGAAATGGGTGTGAATATTTCTTGTGTCCGCTGAGCTGGTATCATTCGAGTGAGGAGGACTGTAAACAAATCAAACTTTTCCGGAATATTAATTAGCTTCTCTCATCAATGCTTTAGAAATAATCTGGGTTGACTACAAATTCTCTTAAAACCACACGAAAGCTGCTAAAAGAGAGAAAAATCACTTTGTTTTTTCAAAGGAATCCGGGGTGTTTCCGAGAACAGTCGGCTGAACTTTGAGGGAGCACGACTGAGTGAGACACATTCAGACAGATCACTTCTAAAACACCCCTAGCATTATAGAGCCGGAATTTCAAGAGGCCCATTGACTTAATAACAAGACAGTTTGAGAACTGAAGCAATAAATCAAGCTTCCTGCTTTCAATTTTTAACCTTTCTCCGTGCAAAGAAAGGCATTTTATTCTACCCCAACCTGAAAATTGCAAAACAAAACAAATATTAAAACAGACAACTTTATCGTCTTTCACCGACAGCAGTTCAGCCCGCGTCAAGAGTTCGAATTCCAAAATTTTTTTTTTCCCAGAAAAACTGATCAGAGAATTCTGAGAATTTCCCTTTTATGAACAAACTATCGTGAGACAGCCGGCTAATATCTGATAAGTATCTTAAATTTCGTTCAAAAAAAAAAAAAAAAGATTGGTTCACCTGAGGTTGCAAATCTATGATATGAAATTTGGTTGAAGGCAAAAA